GGAGACGATGCGGGGGACCAAGGTTGATTTCTCAGTGCTATTTATTAGGTCAATTTAAGAAACGATGTTGTTTATATTGGTTTTGTTTGTGAAACTTATATGTTCTGTGTTGTACAACTAAGTTTTAGCATGTACAACTATGGTTGATTTTCTTCTCGTATTTGTGCAAATTTTGTCAGTCTGGATACAACTAAGTACCACAGGTACAACTAAGGTCAAATGCCTTAGCCAATTTTCAGAATTTTATATAATATGAAAATTTAAAACCAAATTAAAAAAAAAACTTAAAAAATGCATACACGATGGCAATGAAACTACACAACAAGTTTTTGACAAAATATTTCATAATTTTTAAAAATACTGAAATTCTTACTCAAAATCTCACATTCATACACTAACAACCTTATACTTTCATGGTTACTTTGTAGATTTGAATTAAAATTTTATAAATTTTTGAAATACTTGTATTTTGATAAATATAAATGCACAAATACAAAGTAATGGTATTTTTATGAGGCAATACCATCGGTTCCACCAACAAAAATTAAATTATAGTAGATAACAACTAGATTTACTAAAATCTCTATATTGTACACTTATGAGCAAAAATGTGCAACCGAGTACAACTGTACAACTATGAACAAATTTGAGCTATTATTTAATAATTGTTTTCAAAATAACGGTGCCAGATATGCCATTTGTCAGATTTTTTTCAAAATAACGGCGCCAGGTATGCCAAAATATCAACTAGATTCACTTTTTTTTTTTTTCCAAAACCCTTACAAACCTACATATTTGTCAGATTTTTTGATTAATTTAGATTTTTTTTTTTTTTGGTTCAAAACCTCTTAGATTATATTTAATACATAGATTCATACATAAAAATATTAAGATTCAGATTAAAAGATTCATACATAGTTAGATTCAGATTCAATGATTCATACATAATCAAAAAACATAAACCCAGAAACATAGTTGTACCTGATCGTACCAGTTGTACCTAAACGTTTAGATTTATACATCAAAATCAGAAACCAAAATACAAGCCGAACTCAATTGTATCTAATAACCCAACCACCAACACTTCTTCATAATCTTTTCATGTTCCCTCGCCTTCTCTTGCTCCATCTCCTTCGCCTTCTCTTGCTCCAATTTCCTCACCTTCTCTTGCTCCGATTCTCTCGCCTTCTCTTGCTCCAAGGAGAAGATAATCTTTCCCTTCTAGAACTATATCCTTCTCCTCTAATTAATCATTGTGATTAGTACCTACAACAACACATGATATTCAATATCAAACATTCAAAGGATAAACAATCTCATAATCTTTAGTTTTTAACTCATTTCATAAATCATCTATACGGAACAAATTCATCAAATCCAAATTGTAATCATACAACTAGTCATAATGGGTATTAACAGAGACAATTTCAAATCCGAATTGTAATTCAAATCCAAATTGTAAACATTAAATCCGAATTATAATCATAAAAAAAAAATTCAATCAATCTATTTCAAACAAAATCAAACCTTAATTAAACCCAACACAACACAATCAATAGAACCCTATTAAACCCTCAAAGAAAAAAAAATACCAAATTCAATCGAAAACCAATCCATAATCAATCTGTTTCAAACAAATCCAAACCTTAATTAAACCCAACACAATCAATCGAACCCTATTAAACCTTCAAAGAAAAATCAAACCCTAATCAAACCAATTAAACAATCAATCGAAAAAAATGGATCAACCAAGAGAAATCTTACAAAGAGAAGACATAGATGATTTCTCACGGCGGATTCCTCGGATTCACGGCGGGATTTCTCACGAAGAAGAAGAAAGAGAATGGATCTTTGGATCGATAGAAACAAGAGAGGGAAGAAGAAGAAAACGAAAGAGTATCGACGGAATTGAAAGAAGAGAGAAGAAGAAGACGAAAAGTGATCGAAAGCTTTGTCTTTGTCGTATTGACGACTCTAGTCTCCGGTCTCCAATAGAGAGAAGATGAAGAAGATGAAGAAGATGAAAGAGTGTCGTGGAGAGAAGAAAAAAAAATTAGAGTTTTTAGGTTTCAAAATTGGGGATAAAAAATCCGAAACTGATATGGATCTAGATCCAAAATAAGGTTGGGTCAGTAAATAAGTCGAAAAGTCCAGTTTTATTTTTCTTTTACTATTTTTCTAAATAAAAACTAGATGTTAACCCGCGGTGTACCGCGGGTCTATATTTTTAATAGAAAAATTTATTAAATTTTATTTTAAGATAATCTATAGATATATACTATTGTTTTGTTTAATTTAAATGTATAATACACCGTGAGACGAAATTTTATTACAAAAATTGAAATTTTATAGATAGACGTAGTATAAAAACAATAGATTCAATTGTCTGATTTTGAATAAGATGCTGATTTAACCCGTCTTATACTGATTTTACCTGCGGTATACCGTATGCTAAATTTTAAATAATAAAATGAGGATTTAATATGTGTTATTGCGATGTATTAGTGATATTTTAAATTTATATTAATATCAATCCTAACCAAACCCGTGTCATTCAATTCGTCCCGTAATATTTAAAACTATTTTATAAAAACTCAAAAACCATAGCTAAATGGGCAAACAAAAGCCAAAAAATTTAAATATATCAATTAGAAATTTTTGAATTAGAATTTTTTGAATTAGAAATTTTTGAATTTAATTAGAAAAGATTTCTCCATAATTTTAAATCTTACGTATTTAATGTATTTATGAAGATTTGATATTTGAATTTATTTGAGAACATTACTTATTTTTAGCAATTTCAGAAAAAGACATGGGTTAAAGCTTGAACTGATCCGATAATTAAGGTCTTAATTAATAGTTTTGCACCGGCCTTGTTATTTTATTTGTATTTCTAATTATTTTATCACTATTCAAACCTTAATGATCCATGTAATTAACACTAACCTATTATTGTTATATAATCACAAATATTAAAAATAATATGTTTAGAACTGCCATGAAAAAAAATTTAAGTATGCAACTTTCATTAGTTCACATAATGAAAAAATAAACACATAGAGTATTAGAACCCAATAACAAAGAATCATGTCTACCAATTTTGTAAAGACCTACAGAGCCCAATTTGTTTTTATTCAACTCTCTCATATACCCAAAATGAAAAACTTAGAAACGGAAAGTTCAAACTCAATCATCGGTGGTTTAGCAGATGAAGTCACCGTCGTTAACGGTCATAGTAACGGCTCCGTCGATCTGAGCCTTGTTTCTTCAAAGCTGCAGCAAAACGCATGGATCTACTCTCCGTGTAGCGTATCAAGGAGTTCCCGGCGTGTATTTTGAAGCTACCACCGGAAAAGCATATCCGAAATCTAAAGATATTCGGTGTGATCAATTCGATGTTGCGTTTCAGGCGGTGGAGCTTTGGATCGCCGATCGTCTTGTTTTGCCAATCGAAACCTAAAGAATTACGATCTCCTCCTCGTCACCATCTTCACATCGTCGGCGAGGTTTAGATCCCGGTTCACCACTGTCTCCTAGCTCTTCCCGGAGTCCGTACAGATTGAATCACGTCTGCGATTTCTCATTTTCTGTAAAACTGGTGAGTTTTTATTAGACTAATGAAAGGTATTTATAATGTTTTGAGAATACTATAGGGTTTTGGGTGAGTGAGATCCTAAAATCTTGCTGATCAAGTACACAATATCTTCAAAATCTTTTATTTTTGGAATTAGTAATTTTCTTGCAAATCTAAAAAAAAAAAGAAATATAGGAAAGATAATTATGAGTAATTAGTTGGGATGACAGCCAATGGTAGAGATTTTAGAAGGAAAGCAAGAGATTTTTGGCAACAATTTTTGAACGTAACATCTTTGATTTGGGAGAGATTTTTGGAATATGCTTATACCGAAATATATGTGTAATTATCTACATTAATGACCGGTTTTTTTAGATTTCCTTAAATGTCTTATCCAAGATCCGGATATAGTAAAACCGAGTAAAACCCAGATCCAAATTATTAAAAGCAAAAAAACCCTGCAAAAATATATATGTAGATTGTTATTTTGATTTTAAATTTATTGCAATTTAAATGGGCAATTACCTATATTTAATCTGTTATTGTAAAAGAAAAATGACATAGCTTATTATTAGAATATTAAACAAATTTATTGACATAATATATATATATATATATATATATACTGTTAAAAAAATAAATACGTTTTTTTCTTTATAATTTCATAATATATGTATATATTGTTAAAATCTGGACATTTATTATGAGCATAAATATGAAAACGATTTTCCATTAAAATCGGCTATTTATTAGGGTCATTAATATGAAAGATATTAAGACAACATGGCTTCATTTATTAGTTTGAAATTAAGACAACATCTCTTAAATTGCTAATCCAAGATCCGAATAGAATAAAACCCGGGTCAAACCCGGATCCAAAAGAATTAAAGGAAAAAAGTACTATAAAAATGTATATGTAGATAATTAAGTAAACATATGTTTTTTATATTGGGGGCTAAGTAGAGAATGATTCCAGCACAGGGGCTGCCGAGATTAAAATCCACAAGCGGAGCGGTTTAGGCATGGTCAAGGTAAGTGGTCTCAATCTGGTTCCGAAGCCTCCAACGAGGATAAGAGCCTTCATTCTCCACAAATATAATCAGATGATCTACTGTAATCTGAATACATGAGAGAATCAACAAGTATTACTAGCACAACACTATTTCAGTATATATTACTTCAGTTTCTCTAATCACACAAAGGAATCTCTGAATCAACTCAATACATTCAACAAACCGGAATTACACAATTCAAAGCCTTCTTCGAAGAGATCCAATAATACTCACATGAAATTTGGAATATGGAAGGACAAGTCTTCTGGGTTTATAATTGGAATCGGGAAGGACTCTGTTTCCTGGGAGGCATCAGGCGTGACAATGCGGCCAAGACTGATAACGCACGAGATACAATAAAATAAACAGCAATATACAAAAATCTGACAAAATTTAATATTAAACCAAAAACTGATTTTTTCTTTTAAATGTCATTAATGGAGCATCAGAATTGACTAAAAAAATTCTCAACATATTTAAGTCTCCCACATGTAAAAATTATAGCTTCTCATTGTTCATCAGAGACGCTGCAAAAACAACAACGTCCGAGATCAGCTTAAGAGATCCATGGATTCCGCAATCTTGCTTCTCGCTTCGTTGCAAAGATCATCCGCTTTGCTTCCGTGTATTGGCTTATGGATGATCACTCTCACATTCCCATGGTTCAGTATACCTTCACTACCTGTTGGCATGATTTTGCCTGTTCCCATTAGCGTTATTGGAACTACTGCAACTCCCGTCTTAGCAGCCACCGTAAATGCGCCTTTCTGTAATACCACAAGCCTCTTTTGTTAACTTACAGACCAAAAATATGTTCAAAGAAGAATCTTGAGATTGTGTGTACCTTGAAAGGACCTAACCGACCATCCTTGCTCCGTGTTCCTTCTGGGAAAAAAAACACAGATGCTCCCTTCTTTAAGAGTTCCATGCAGCGTTTTAAGCAATCCTATAATTTGCACAAGAGTTAAATAGTCCATCCGCTTGACAATCACTAGAAAAATGTGGGAGAAACAAAGAGTAACATACCACGTGGCTTCTTTGGTCCATCCGCCTTAAGGGAACGACACCCATCATGTACATGGCCCAACCGATAATGGGAATTACGAATATTCCTGTCTTGCTGATGAACTTAAAGCTTTTTCCAAGACTGAGAAGTGTGTAGATATCTAAAAAACTTTGGTGGTTTGAAACATATACAGCAGGAGTGTCTGATGACGGCAGATTCTCCAAACCCTCGATGTTGATTTTGTAAAACGGATAAATGCTTATGGAAGCCCAAAGTTTAGCAATAAAGTGATGGAATTTTCTCCTATAGGGATCGAAGAGAAGGACGAACGGATGCCCAACAATCATCAGGACAATGAGAAAAGTGGCAGAAATGGCAGCAACAACACAAAAGCATATCCCTCTGAGTCTTGAGCTCAACTTAATCTCTGCACTTCAAAGTTGAAAGAACAAGAAAGAATTGTGTATAGAGACAGAAACAAATAAACAAAAAGAACGAGATAGGTTCGAATCTATCAAAACAGACGATATTTGTTCACAAAGGTTTAGCCAAAAAAAACCTGGTTCCGGATAAGAAGATTCAGGGGTTGCAACTCCTGAAAGATCTGATCTCACAGTGATATTTCTTGCCAATTCACTTAATCCGAGTGATTTCTTATCATGAAATCTGTAAGGATCCCATCTTAAAGAGCGGCTACACCATTGAACGCCAGTACTTCTTGTTTCGCCCATAAATTTTCCACTCGGGACAGCTAAAAAGGAAAAACATGGAAAGGAAAGCAAGAAATGATTTAAGAGATTCATCTCAAGTCGAAATAAAAAGTAACTCAAAACCAAAATGAGTGTGTAGCACATATAATCTACAAGTCTTTTTAACAAAGAGTGATTTAAAATATGTTAGCAACACAACCGCAACAAGATATCAATAAAACTATAGTTTCATAGCCTTACCATGAAGGGAAGTACTAAAGCTCGCTGTGCCATTAGAAATACGACCAAAACAACACACTTTATCCCTCGAAATCTGCATCTCCAATGATTTCATAAAATAAGAACAATTTGAGGATAGTATAAGTGCTTCATGTTCATATAGTATAAGTGCTTCATGTTCATTGTTCAACCAAGTCCAACAATCCAAAATCCACACCAAAACCTCAACAGAAGCAGATTTTTTTTTTTTTGATGTAATGTTGAGATTTGACAATGAAAATAACTAAAAATTTGCTACTTCACTTAACATCACCAAGTTAAAATCCTAAGCTTCCATTGCAGAATACCTTTCACGTTCCATCATTTTCTCAGAAACTGAAGACGAATCAATCACTACAGAGTACAGAATCTAAACAAAACGAAAATTTACCCGAATCAACGATGATTGCGATGAACAAATCGGTTTTCCATAATCTGAGAACATAATTCAGAAATAAAGTTATCACAGAGAAATTGAAGTTATTATGTTCAAGAAATAAGCTAGAATACGAAAGTGACCATTACATGAAGGATGTGAAGAGATGCTCCGAGCAGAAGCGACATCCATGGCGGAATCTGGAGCAAAAACATGCGTGAGATTTGCTCATGTGTTATCTCTGTCATCTTCTTCAGGCTTATCTCAGGGGTTCGTTGCTCTACTGTTTTCACTTTCTAATCATCAACTGTGTGTCGTTTTACACCGAAAAAGCGGCGGATTGCATTTTCCTGTTTGTGATATAGACTGCATGCCGTTTTGTAGGTTAAGTCAGGAAACTATTGTTCAAGGCCTTTTGAAGTCACTGAACAATGGCCCATTTGGGTTGATGGTCTTTAAGTGACCCATCATCAAACTTAAGCATTTTTCGCATTTTTTTTACGTTAAATTAATCGCTAAATCCATTCATCACTATTTTCTACATTGAAATACATTTGTTTACATTTATCCCAAATCTGGATCTAAACCAAATTTTAAAATTTTGAAAACTAAACAAGATTCTCATTAGTAAATTCACTACTTTGTACGTACAATTCTTAGAATTTAATCTCCTACATGAAAATGGGTGTTAGAGTAAATGCGTACTTTAATTTGATTCAGAAACGGTGACATGAAATTTTAAAGTGAAACGGGTATTTGAATTATCATAATTTTTAGTAATTAGTAACGATAGATTAGTTAAAAGTCAAAGATGTATCATGTATGTGTAAGTAATGGAATTGGAATAGCACATTATCCACTTGGCCTCATCTTATTAATTAGCACATACTATTGCGTTACCAACAAAATTAAAGGACAATCTGAGAATATCAATACATGCAAGACAAATTTCAAAATGTTGTTTCCATAACGTAGCATAGATATTCCCTTTTATATTAGAGAAAAAAAGAATCTCTTGGACGCCATATATAGCTTTGTTTTTTAGTTACCACTTTCACAACGGTCATTTTGGTAGAAAAATAGATTTAGTTTCTAAAAATGGATCCTATTACCATTAATATAGAGTGGTCTAAATCTCTGTGTATTAATTATTGAGTCAACAAATCTCGTAGAAAAATGAAAATATTTACTTGCCTTGTTGAGGTTGTAAAATTTTAGATTCAAATGGCAAGAACAAACTATAGATTATAAGCTTTGAGAGTGAATATAATATCCCAAACACATAACACAAAACAGAAAGAGAGATCTTTTATGATGAAAAACTAAGGGAACAAAAGAAACTTCAACAATCTGGAAAAATAAAACTAAATCTTGCTAAAAAGTGAACTCAATAAAAACTACATTCTCTCGATCAAACCCTCTAAGCCATGGCCAAACCAATCACGACTGCGGTCAAGAACCAACCGCTTCCAACCTTCAATCCAGCCGCAGCGTTATGAGCGGCACCTGGAGCTGGAGCTGGAGATGGAGTTTGAGCCGTATCAGGAGAAACCTGAGGAGCGCCACCACCACCGGATTTGCGTTCAGCCAAAACAACAAGGGTAATCTTTTCGCCTTTAGCGCAGTTACCAGGAGCACCACTAATGAAGAAATAAGGGCCAGATTTGTCAAGCTCAACCTTAGTGTCTCCATCATTATATTGCTTCAAGGGATTTGCTGTGTTACAAGTCTCGTAATCTTCTTTTGTCACTTGTAGTACCGAATCTACTTTCATGTCGTACTTCCACACTATTCCACATGCACAGCAAAAATATATCAAATATTCGACCATGCATATATATAGTTTTTATGAACATATGATCACAATAGAATCAAAGCAAATATATCAGAAATGAAGAGATAGCTAGGGTACCGATGAAGTCGCCGACTTTGAAACGATTGTTCTCGGCCCAGTGATTGAGAGTGTTGTTGGGAGAATCAGGAACCTTCCACGATCCCACAGATCCACCGACCAGAATCACCCTAGGATTGGAGGCACCATGGCTCACTTTCGTAACTAAGAGGAAGACAAGGGTCAAAACTGGAACTATGATTCCCATTTTTTGGACTTTTTCTTTCTACAAACAACTCTTGGCTTTTGTTTTGTTTTTGGTTTGAGTTTTGTCTCTCGTTTGTTTTTGTTTTCTCTATATGTGAAGAAAATATGAGATGGTGAGTGGTGTTTATATAGTCATTGTGGTTTGGAGTTAAATCTTTTGTTTTGGGGGTTCGGAGTTAGGTTTGGGCTAATCCGAACCGAGTATTAAAAGTGTAATCTCTCTCTGATTTGCTAAATAAATGTCCGTTTTTGTTCACTTTTACAAAACTATATGTTTCAGTTTAAAATAAAAACAAAATCTTTGGTTTGATTTTTAATAATTGCTGAGTTGTCTACGTTAAATATAGATTTGATTTCTAAAATACTTAATTGTTTAAATCTAAATGAAATTTTCAAATTTATTATTAATTGTTTTAAAATAAACTAACTTTTGATATGTGTTTAATTAACTGATAAATTATCACACATATTTCTGCTATGATTTTCTTAAATATTGAAAAAATATTTCGAATAGTAGTTCTGAAATCAAATAAACGTAAAGTATTCAGTTTGGGAAAAACATTGAAACTTAAGAATATAATTTCCCAATTTACAAATAGGAAAAGTTGAATACCAGATATTTAGGAAACACTTGAATATATACTTTTCTCGTTGTCCTTATCAATTTGTTTTCATGGTTAAATACATACATTATTTTGTTCCTTTTTATTCAATCAAGGATTTTTTAGTAAAACAATATTATTTTTACTGTTTAATGTTATTACAGTACTCAACTATGTTTAAAATCACAAAAAAAAAATAACTATTGGACCACTATGAGTTGATCGTAATTTTTGTTTTGATCTGAAGAGGAAAAAAACAAGTAGTTCATAATATTCAAGATACTAATAATTCTTTCTAAATTTTTCCATTTTTTTCTTTTATATCTTATAAAATAAAAGACTGATCAGTTTTTGAATCGAAATGACTTTCTATAAATTTGAAAATGGTCCGATAGTTGAAAAACACGTAATTTTAAAAATGTAACGTAACGGACTATCAATTATGTAATCTTTGACCTTGTACAATTTTCTACGACAACGGTACTTTTTTTTTTACGTTAGTCATGAAAATCCCCGGTACCGAACCGTTGTGGTCGGGAACAAAACATTTTAATGGCTATTAGTGGCTATTAATGGTCATTCTCATACTATTATTTCAATTGGTTCGTAACAGATCTATGATAATTAAGATGGCTAGATTTACCACTAAATAACGTTTCATATGAATTATTATGTTTTTTGTTTGTCTCTGAACGTACTAGTTAGTACTTAGTAGTTACAGATTACGTTTTTTGCTGAAAACAGTAAATCTTATTTTTATTCTCAGTTCTTTATTTTCAAACAAAAAAAAAAGACGTCTTCTTTCAGTTTCAGACAAGAGATTATTCTTTCATTTTTATCATCAGACGAAATTATAGTAGTATATCATAAATTAATGAGCTTACTTTGGTTATATAAGTTGAAAACTTAGGTTATAATTATTTAATTTTTTAATTTATGCTAACTTCAATCTTCATTTGGTTATAATTTTTAAAAAAAAAACAAAAAATGCCACGATTTCACATGATTATTAGTCTTTTAATTCAAAACAAAAGTTGCATCAAAAGTTGCGTCATGGGATGGTATTTTTGAGACTCCAGTCTTTTGAGTTTTAAAGAAAACACAACACTTCCAAAGAGAAATCGTCTTCAAATCAAAAACCAAAAACAACAGCATTGATTGTTGATAGTAGATGGTAATGATGATAGTGATGATGATGATGATGATGATGATGATGAACAGGAGATCACTTGAGAAGTGTCTTCACTATGGCTTTGACATTAAGCTTCTTCAGGTCAGTGTAAGACTGGCCACAACCCACGAACATAACCGGTGATCCCGATATGTAAACCATAGATAACGCTGCTCCAACCTGCAAACCGATCCCAAACACTCTCGTTTACATTCATTTATATGATCAAACCAACACTAAATCCAACTATCATTTTTTTTTACTGTACCTTGTCGTCAATGGTATCAAACTTTGTCAGTAAGATTCCATCGATCAGTCTTGGGTTCCCAGAAGTCGAGAGATCCGAAAGTTTCTGAATTTCAGAAAAAGCAACGTCAATAAGGCTCAACTGAACACCTAAGGAGAGTCTAATGCGGGTAAAAATACGAACCTGATTAAACTTTGAGAGCTGGTCTACTGCATCGTTTCCAACAAGAGCTTCCCCAACAAACAAGACCAAGTCTGGCTGATTAAGGTTGATGAGCTTTGAGAGTGCTCTCATCAAAGGTTCATTATCCTGCATCCGACCAGCTGTGTCAACAAGAACAACATCGGATCCATTTCGAGTTGCTTCTTGTATGGCTTCTTTAGCAACTACAGCTGGATCCTTTTCATACCCTTTTTCAAATATCGGTATCTGTTGACAAAATCCCACCACCCCATTAAAAACCAGTATTAACAACACCACCATTTTAAAGCACACGATTATGTAAACATTAAAACACATTACCTGTAACCTACGAGCATGAGTCCGTAACTGCTCAACAGCTCCAGAACGGAATGTGTCACAAGCAGCCATCATTACACTGACCTTATGCTGCTGAAGCCAATACGCCACTTTGGCCAGATTGGTGGATTTCCCAACTCCATTGACTCCAACAAACACAACCACATAAGGTTTCCTCTGTTCTTTGGCAGCATGAACATCTCTCAATATGTCAATGGAGCGTCTCGGAGTCAATATACGAACCAGAGCGTCCTCCATCGCTGCCTGAAATCATATGTTTCACCAAAATTAAGCTATCTTCAAATTGCAGAGTGAAATGTTAGCTAGATTCAGTTAAGAGCTACAGGGACAAAGCACAAAACCTGAACGGTTGAAGAGATCCTGGTGAACGATGACAACTTCTTTCCTTCAAGACTAGCTTCCACTGATTCACAAAGCTTCTCAGCAATCTCTTCAGCCTGCGAATGAAACGCCCAACCTCAAGTAAGACATATAATAAATTCCAAACATAAGACATGATGCACTGTGTAGACAGACACATACCACATTCTTGGTCATGAGCCGTTCCTTCAGAGCTTTCAATGCCGGTCCAAGGTCTGTCCTTTCAAGATTCGCTT